CCCCCGCCCAACCAACTCCAGGAAGTCTTGATCTTCCTTACTGTTTACAAGGGCGCTTCAGACTGAAAGTATTCAGGCTTCAACGAAGGAGGAATTTGTAACTTTAACCTTTAGCTCTAAAATTCAAGAGCTGTTCTCCCAAGCGCAGCAGAGAATGGATACTAAGGTGGCCCAGCCGGTTAAACGTTGCGTGCTGGCGTCTGACCTTTAAAGCAGAGGCGGCCTCGCCTGGAGCAGGGGTCAGCTGGAGTGGACCCGAGGCTCTCCCCTGTTGCCCACATCCATCCAGCCCCCACGCCTGTGCGAGACGGGCACCGAGCTCCGCCGGCTGTCCCTCAGCACCTCTGGGACAAGACCTGTCCCCACTAACTGCAGAGAGGGATAAAATGAAGACTGCTCACAAGTCTAGCTTAAGTACGAGGTCAAAAGAGGAACTGGTTTCTTCTTTGGAGGGTGGCGATAGCCGGTGCTTCGGCCTGCATCTTTCTCAGACTACGGTGCCCTCCACGCTGCTTGGTTGGCTCTGTCCCTCCCTGCCTGCTGTGGTGATGCACTGAGTTGCCACCAGGTGGTGCCAAAAGGCAACTAAAGCTCTCACACTATGGAAGCCCAGAACTATCTGCCTTTAAGGACACCCTTTTAATTTTAAAGAGCTGGCTCAACCTGGCCTCTAGGACAGCCTCCTCGGCAGTCCAGGCCCCCAGGGACGGCCACTAGCAGCTCCGTTTAGTTCACTAGGCCTGCACTCCAGCAGATCTCATTTTTCTCTCCCTGAAAAGCTGCACTCCCTCGGATGGGTCATTCAGGGGAAGCCAGGCTAAGTGAGGTCGTGCCCAGAACTGTCGTCCTGTCCCAGCCTTCCTAACTCATTTGTAAGTGCACATCCAGTTCTCACCAGTGCTTAGTGGCTTGTCCCAGAGGTGGTCACCACAGCACTGTTTACCAAAGCAAGGCTGATGCCTCGTCCGGCTCCCGCCCGGGATTCTCGTACTCACTCGCGTCCGTGCTTGCTGCTGCTGAGCCTGATTCCCTCTCAAGCTCTGGCCCCGCTGTTGCTCCATCTCCTGCCCCACTGCCCTCCCCAGGTCCTCCCGCCCCTCCTCAGCCAGCTCTCCCTTCCCTGTCCTCCTCACGGCTTTGTTTTCCGTCCCTCCTGCCTCACTGGGCCCTGAGCGAAGTCCTCCAGCCACACTTTCTCCAGTTGGTGCAGCAAACCCTGGACTCAGGCACCCCTCTTGAGAGAATCCTCTGCTGTGGCCAAGACGCCTGTCCCTGCCTCTGGCACAGCCGTGGCTCAGCCTGAAGGGACTCCCCCTCAGCCCCTCCGTGCCACCCTCTGCCCTTCTGCAGCGGCCTGGCTGCCTTTGCAGTCCGTGCTGCAGTCTCCTGTTCCTGCTGCCAAGTGCTGAATTCTTTGTCTCCTCTTGTGCTCTAGAAACACTGGTTATTTTTTGTGGGAATGGATCTCACCTTCTTACAATTGGGAATCCCTCTGATGGGAGGCATCTGCTTGCATTAGACATCTTTTTTTATCCTGTGTCTCCCGGCTCAGTGCTCCGCTGGAAAAAAGTCTTTAGGATGAACAAAAGCCTTTGCTGCATAGGTTTCAAGCCATTTTGTTCCACAACGTTCTGAATGTGCTTTCACAACCCAGAGTACACGTATCATTTGTAGCCCTCTGACTTCAGGACTGGAGGGCCTTTGTAGGGCACCACTCAACACACCCTGCCGCTGGGGAACCTGGCTCAGAGAGCTGGAGTGACTCGCCCAGGGGGCGGCCAGCCAGCCGGGGTGGGGCGGGGGGCAGAAATGGCGCTGTTCTCCACTGCATGTGTCCGAATTGTCTCAGGTTGTTTGTCCTCTGTGTCCCAACGCACCAAGGTGTTAGGGCATCAGCCAGTGAGCACAGGGACGTTGAGACGTGTTTACAGAGTAGGCTTGGCGTGGGGCCTTCTCCACCTAGCTTTGGGAACTGAGGCCAGACACTGCCCCTCTGGGGGCCTGGTTTCCTCCTCTGTAAAAGAAAAAGCTGGCTTAGGTGGTCCTAGAGTCCCTTGCAGCTCCAAACTTCCGAGACCACAGCAGCAAAGGTGGGATGTGCTGAGTTCCAGTGGACTTAATCTTGACGAGCGTTCTCTCCCATCTGTTCCAGACACCCCGTGCGGCACATCTCCTTCAACTGCCACAGCCTCATCACGGCCCACGTGCCCTACGAGAGGGTGGTGCGCAACGCCGACCTGGACAACTTCGTCACCCACCGCAGGTCAGTGCTTGGGCCGGGCTGGTCCGGGTTTGTAGGAGTTCAGATGAGACACTTAGCTTGATTTTATTAATAGAACATCCCAGGCCACATTGGTCCCTACAGGATGGTACCCTCAGGCTTAGCCGTTCTTTTCACAGAAGTCAGGAACATACATGTACATGCGGGCAGGGTGGTATTAGCCAACAACACGTGCTGAGTGCCTGTTTCAGGCACTTCAGCGGGACGCTACAGGGGGGGTGGGATGGGAGCGGGAGGGACACAGAGGGGGAAGGTGGCCACATGTGCCAAGAGCCCAAGACAAAAGGCTTAGGGACCTGTGGTGTTGAATACCAGTGACAGAGGCAAAGCGGACTGGGGCACGAACCCGTGTCCCCTGCCTCGGCAGGCGGACTCTCTACCTCTGTGCCACCAGGGAAGCCCAGGACCCTTTCTGATTACTGTTGGCCTGGCTTCCAAGCAGCCTCTTGTGAGGCCTTCCCTGAGGCTGACCCTTCCTGCCTCCCTGTTCAGCCAGATGCCTCCCAGCACTCAGTTCCCTCCATCAAACTTGTCTGCTCACCTGTTTGTCTCTAGTCCCGGGATCTGGAGCGTCCATAACACACTGTGGGGCCCAAGCAGACATGTGTCGCGATGACTCGCTCTCCTGTCTCCAGCATGTGCCTGCTGCAAAGACAGAAGTCATTGGGGGGGCTGGGGACCAGGACTGACCCTGCTGCTGTCTCTGCTTTCTCTAGACACCGGGGGCTGATCCAGGCCTACGAGTTTGCAGTGGACCGGCTGGCCTTTCAGAGCACTGTGCCCATCTGCCGTTCGTCCTGTGACACCATACCGGGTTACAACTATGACCTGGCGCTTGCTTTTCCCTGTGACAACATTTAGAGAATTGTCTCATTTGGGAGCTGGGAGAAACATGGGAAGAACCAATTCTGTGTATTTTAGAACTACAGAGGAGCACCTCACTAGGTTTTAAGTGTTGGGGGAAGAAAGCAACTGCAGGGCGCGCTTCTGTGACCCCCACATCTTCCTCTACTGCCTTTGCTTTTCTCCTTTGCCAATTCATTTTTCTCCAGCTGCGTGTGTCAAGGCTCGTTTCATCTTACTCTGTTCTCACTCTCTCTCTCTCGTGGCTTTCAGTACCACACACTGATGGCTCAGATTTATACCTCCTTCCCCCACGCTCCTCCACCGCAGCCCTGCATCTGCACCCCACCGGTCTCAGGAGTGTCACCCGGGCCCAAGCTGGGACCTCCCCACATCATTCTGTACACTACACACAGCCCTTGCTCCAGCTCTGAGATAAGGCCCTTCTGCACCCCTGCTCATCCTCTTTCCAGTCTCCAAACCCTTGCTTCTTTGGGGGCCTTTGGTCATGCTAGTCTCTGAGCCTTGGATCTGAGACCAAGAATTCATCTCTGGGTCGTCTTCTCTGACTCCACCACCCAACCTGGGAGAGCAGCGCTTTTTCCTGGTAGATTTTAACATGGTTATAATTATATATTTATACAACTATTTCATTAATAACTGTTTTGCTGACTATTGTGTCTGCAACGCATGATACAAAGTAGACACTTTCTACGTACCGTAAACACCCATCCTCCGCGTGGGGTGGAAGGTGATGGGTTCTGGAGTAGAGAGAAGGGAAGAGCGCGGAGGGACCATTACGTTCAACCACCAAGCTAATACGGGGCAGCACGAGAGGCCCCTTCAGTGTGATAACTAGCTTCTGTTTCCAAGGATTAAGAGGGCAAAGCCTTGCGTTACTCATGCTTTAGACTGTTGTGAGCAGCAGCCGCCGTCTACTGTACCTTCAAAACAGCAAAGCAGACAACTGACAGACTACTCAGAGAAACAAAATCCATGCCCCATGCTGGGTGATGCGGAGGATTTACTTAATTTATGAGCGTGACACGATGGATGTAGGTAGGATTCTGTCCCTTTTCAAATACCCACAAAACATGCATAAAAAATGACCACGTATGAAGGCCACAAGGAAAATCTCAGATTACACAAAGAGCAATACCAGACAGGTCCAGTCCAGTGCCCCCAGTCCCAATGCGGTACGATTAGAAATCAACAAAAAGCTAAACAAAAACATACACCTGGAAGCCCCAGGCACTCCTGAATTAACTTGGTTTTAAACAGGGAAAGAAAAATGGAAAATAGAAACTCTCCAGACCAGGGTGATAGTGGAAGCACTGAACACCAGGACCCAGGGGACGAGGCCCGAATGGGCGGGGAGACGTCATGACTTTATAGAAAATAAGACAGAAAAACAAAGTAGAAAGAAGGAGTTAAATCCTTCTTTAAAGGAGTTTAAGGATAAAAATACGGTTTAATGAACTAGAAAACCAACAAATAGTGAAGTTGATCATAAAGCTGAAAGCTCATAAAGCTGAAAGCAGGTTTTTGGAAAGACAAAATATACAACTCTTGATAAAGGAAAAAAAATGGCACAAGGGACTATCAAACCGAGTGTTTTCAGCCTGGGGATCACTTCCCACCGATCCAAGAGCAAAGTGAAGCCTTCCTGTTGTTCACAGACGTGCACGGCTGGGAAATGCACCACGACGCGGAGTCCTACAACTTTTTGAGTCATGAGGGTTTCGGAAGGTTTTTCAAATTAAGATCCTCAGTCATAAAAAAAATCCACATCCAACTAGACAGAGCCACATAGAGAGCCGCGACTGGGAACCATCCCCTCAGTCCCGAGAGCACTGCTTTCCTTCAGGCTGCCTTCCCTGGAAGGCAGCTGTGTCAGGAGGGCTTTCTGCTTCCTTTCAGAAGACCCAGTTACTTCATAAAGGAAGCCAGTGTGCAGTGGGCAAATGAAGCATGCACTTTCTTCACGCTCGCTGCCTTGTGCTGCTCTGACCCCCTAGTGACCTCGCTTTATACGGTTTTCACCTCTCACAGTCTTAATGCAACTGGACCACTGCGGAAAGTTTATTTTTCCTTTTAAGAAGCAGCCCCTGCCAGTCTCATTTCACAGTTCATTTTGCAGATACATTCTCCCTCCTAGCTTTGCAGGAATTAAGGGTAATGGAAGAGTTCAAAAGAAATTAGACCCAGAAAATTTTACTGAAAGTAAAAACAGTTTTAAACTACTTTCATTCACTGCCAACTGCTGGTCCAGTGTAAATGTTGCAAGCATGGGGTTTTTTCCTCCCAGCCTGTTGATAACATCTCCCATTCATGAAAACCACCTGGGTTTTGTGAAGGTTTATTGGACCCAAATAATCTCCAAGCACACCAAGTTCAGTCAGTGTTTTTTGCTGTAAACCTTACATTCTGGAAGAAATAGCCTGATGGGGAAAGGATCAAAGTTCCTTTATGAACCAACATTTACCAGTGGCTTAAAAAAATCTTGGCCCGTGTCCACCCCCATCTTACCTTTGTCTCCGTTGGCTATTTTGTGGGAGCTTCTTTGCAAGTTCTGAATTCTTAGTTGACTTATCGTCTCCTTTTCTTCTGTATCTCTTCTGCTTTTCAAACTCGGGCCCCATGTCTCCCCTAAAGACGGAAGAGACTCAGATATGCCGCTGAGGGAGCCAGAGGGCCAAACACCAGAAATCTCTGCCCTGTCTTAAAACATTGTATGACTTTGTTTTCTGCTTTATAACATGTCCATGTTGGTTCTAGTATTAAAATTTTTAAATGCATTTATTGCTGAAATTACTTGTCACCCTGGCAAGGTGCGTGGTGACAGTCCCCTGGCATACCACTTTACCAGCTTCCCCCGACCCTGGAAATCTCACCTGACAAGTTGAATAGTTTTTCCCAGAACCACTATTTAGAGGGGCTCCTAGCCCAGGATCCAAGAAACCCACACAACCATATGTGAAATTGTGCATAAGGGCATTTTCTGGGAGGAAGTATGGCTCTGTCATCAGATTCTCCAAGGGAACCATAGTCCTGAGAGTTTCATCTGCGGCCCCTAGGCTGTGCTCTGCAGTCTCAGCCCTGTGCTGCCTTGGTGCTGCCACTGCCGCTGCCCAGGCAATAATCCATTTGCAGAGACACCCTAGGGCCAGCAACACCCCCCTTACCAAGGCTGCCCAGATTCAGCTGATTCGAGGAAAAACTGAATGTCCCCAACAGTGCAGTTTTGGTCCTTTCTGTGCAGGAGAGCTGACCACACCAGGATGAAGTCCTCCGTACCCCTCCTTGGAACCAGAGGCCCCACATTTGAGGGGATAGCGCGTCCCACTCTGCATTCAAATGACAAGCACCGGTCACTGCAAACCAACTTTGCTCATGCTCAGAGAGAAACGTCTTCCTGGTAGGGGCACAACCTTCTCCTTAAGGCCGTCCACAGCCTGTCAGGACGGGCAAGTCTACGACAATGGCTGAGGCGGGGGCCGTCTGGCTCTCCCGACTCGGACCTTTGCTCTGGGCAGCAGCTGTGGCAGCCGGGAGCGTGTGGTGCTGGCCGCCCGTCTGCAGCGCCCTGAGCCTCGCAGACCTGCCCACCTCACCAGCGGCCAGGCCAGATGGCTCCCTGGCTGCTGCAGTGGGCAATGCAGCGATTTGGACGGAGGCTGCCTGGGATGGGCAACGGCACAGCCCCTCTCGCTGGGCTCCGGCGGGTGCCAGCCTGCTCTCTGCCTCTGATGGTGGGCAAGGGCTTCCAGGCAGAAGCTCTGTGCCGGGGACCTTTCCATCCCCTAGGAAGGGAGGGCAGGCTCCCCGCCTCCCCACCACTGTATCTCCTGTCCCCTCGCCCGGTGCTAGCACTAACGCAGCCGCCTCGTTTCTCTAAGATGGAGGCGGCCATAAACTGCTCGGCACATCCTCCAGCCTTACTGCTGCCCCTTGGACCACTCCTGGGGTAAAGGCCAGAAACCTAGCCCCTTGCTGACTTGGTCAACAAGATTAGACCAAGATTAGAAGGAAGAGCAGCCACCGTGTGCCCGTCAGAGTCCTCAGTCCTGCTGGGGCCAAGTTCATCCACTACCGAATCCCTGCTGGCACTTGTTCACTGATTCCAGAAGAGCCTGGAGACAAAGGCAACACTGACGCCCTGGGAAGTCATGGTGAAAACCCCGGCCCCTCCCATGCAACTCTCCAAGGCCTTCCCAAGGTCACTGTGTGGGAGGACAGCTTGCAAAGCAGGTGTTTGCAGAACACTTGCCAAGGCAACTTGTATCTTTAACTCTCCATCAGCCTGCGTAAGTCACTGTGCCACCTGCAGTTCAGCTCCGGCCTGGTGAACCACAGGCAGTGGAGACAGGTTCAACTGCTCAGGGACAAGGATCCGATCCATACATGATGCACATAGAGAACTTGCCAGTGCCTGGGATCAGAAATAAATGGAATGGTTTTGTTAAGGTCTAGCAGTAATTCGTTCCCTCAGAGGATGCTTGGCCAAAATTGGAAGCTGTTGTCATCTTACTGCATCCCCTTATCCATAATTCATGTTTAACGTGGCTGCAGAAGCTTTCCACTGAGCTTCTCATAGTAGATTTGCATTACACAGCCCTTCTGTAAACCTACCAAATTGGCGTGTTTGTGTCAAACTGCCATATTCTTTTAACGGCCAAAAGCCCAGTTCTGGTAACTTTTCCCCTTGGTAATATGCTTTCAACCCAATTCCTGGGAAATGGGTGGAGAACATGGAGAGAGGTGACCTCACCCTCATCCTGCAGGCTGCAGACACTGTCCCTGCTCCCTGTGTCCTCCACTCACACACACAGCCTGAGGCCCTCGAAGCACTGACTTCAAATGTTTGACTTAGCACTGATTAGTCACAGGGGTGTAATTCCTAATAAAAGGAGTGCCGGGGACCTTTCCATCCCCTAGGAAGGGAGGGCAGGCTCCCCGCCTCCCCACCACTGTATCTCCTGTCCCCTCGCCCGGTGCTAGCACTAACGCAGCCGCCTCGTTTCTCTAAGATGGAGGCGGCC